AGGAAGCTACAGGCAGGTGAGTTTTAATTAGGGTTGGAGCTGAACTCTGCAGGGCTGCGGCTCTCCAGGACCGGAGTTCGCCACCCCTGGTCTAATCAGATTCAATGAATATGCCCAGCCAGCACCTGTGAAGGGGGGCGCGAGCATCAGTTAATTCAGAGACATTCCCTTGAGGATTTATGAATAGGAGTTAGCAAATCTTTAGCCATCCACTAGGGGGCAATCTGACTCCCACTGCTAGTCGACAGTTAGAGCAGAGTTGGCTCGAGTATCAGTCAGGCTTATTGACAGTAGCCCAAGACATCTCAATGCGGTACTCACGCGCTGTGATAAAGCGTTTCTATGCGCACCGCGCACACGCAATGCTGACTGTATTTGAACTTGAGTCCAAGTTTAAAATAAAACTCTATGAACCACTCCATTGTGAACGTACGAGCTGTATGAACCACTAACTTACAAGCTGTGAAGTAAACAGGAAGTGTTTGTCCAAACTCAACTGGTTTTGCGAAAGAACGCAAAAGTTTTGCGAGGGAACGCAAATATCTTTGCGAGAGAACGCAAAAGTTTTGCGAGAGGACACAAAAGTTTTGCAAAGGAACGCAAAATTTCGAGGGAAAGCAAAAGTTTTGCGAGGGAACGCAAATATCTTTGAGAGAGAACGCAAAAGTTTTGCAAGGGAACGCAAAATTTCTCAAGGGAACGCAAAAGTTTTGCGAGAGTACGCAAAAAAAAAATATTTACTCCCACCCCGAATTTTTTTTCCACCACCATGTCCCTTTAGGGGCTCCGTAGTAAACTAAGCAGCTGCACTACTTTCTAAAAATGAATTTAAATGATTTAAACCATAGATAGGCTTGTACATATCTATGGTTTAAACAGCCATTCAGATTTTTGTATTCGCAGTGGTGTTCATCACAGCACCAAATACTTAAATATTTAGACTTAATAGGCCATTTATTTTCAAACTTTTTTACATTTTAATCTGGAATACAACATGCCCTAAAATATTGTTTGAAAATGTTTTGATTATTTATTGTTTAGTCACTTTAGGCTACATTAAGGCTCTATTAATTAACATTAGTTAATTCATTAGTTAACAAACTGCCAATGAAAAATTCTTCTAAACATTCATTAATCTTAGGTAATTTCAATATTTAATAACACGTTGTTAAAATCAAAAGGTGCAACTGTGTTATTTAATGAACAGTTATATTTTTTTTTACAAAGATTAATAACTTCAGTAGCATATATAGCTATTGCTCATTATTAATTGTTAATGCATTAACTAAGGTTAACTAATTAGATCATATTGTAAAGTGTTACTTATCAAGGTTATTTTCGTAAACGAAAACTAAGACGAAAACGATTGATGAAAAAACAATTTCATAAACTGAAATAAAATAAAAATGACAAAATAATTCAAAAACTAAAACGAAACGAAACTAACATCAGTTATTGAAAAACTAACTGAAATAAAATAATTATCAAAAATAAATAATCGTTTTCGTAATCATTACGTTCTCATCCCTTGGCGGAAAAATATATGAGCTGTGTGGC